GACATGGCGGCGGCAACAATACTACAGCGAGAATAAAAGTTACGCTTTCTTTCTTTGCGTGAACATTTGGGCGGCTTTATGCAAATCTTCCCACATAGTGAGGTAGGTATGTGGGGGCGTGTTCGAACGAGCCGTTTTAGGTAGGTGTGGCTAACTCTTAACTTTTATAAAGAATATCTCTTTGGATTTGAGACTTTAGTCTTTGCAACTTTACAGATCTTCTTTATGCACCAAGAGCTTGTAACACTCTAAAGAGAAAGGAAAAAATGAAATCGCATCATATGACCCCTTTAACAGAAAATAAACAGTGTCCAGAAAAAGGGAATCAAGTGTCCCAAAATATACAGGGGATCTGGTGTCCTCGTCGTGCTGCGGGGTTCGTGAAGGTGGGGCAGTGTTCGGGAAGGAAGGGTCCAGGCAAGGGGCGGAGTCCGGCAGCCGCATGCGCTCCCCTCTCCGGTCCAAGGCGCGAGGGGCGGCGGCTTCTTCAGCGGCTTCATCCTTCTCTCTGCCCACGGCGCTTGAAGGGACTAGACGGCCCGGCATCCTGGCCCGACGGCCGTGTAACGGGTGCGGTTCTCGTCCGGACCGCGGGTCCGGTAGCTCGCATCTTCGGCGGCACGGAGATCCCTCAACGCTCCCTTCCTGGACCCACGAGGACACCAGCGTGCATGCACGGGGAAGAGACCGGTCTCCCGAGGAGAGGCGCGCTCGGCATTTAAACAGCGGCGGTGATGAGGCTCCATTCTGTTCAGGTGTGCCTCATCACACCCTGGCTGTTTCAGCGCCCCTCCTCTCTCATGCACCCACTCCTGGTGGGAGCCTGGCAAAGGGCGGCGATTAAGGGACGGGGTGATGCTGATAATTAGGGGGGAGGCAGCCGACTCGTCACAACACACACACACACACACACACACACAAATGTTCACAGTTATTTTGTTATATAAAAATAAAGAAGCAATTTGCAAACCATAAGACAAATACAACAGAGATACAAATTAAATATTAAATAAAGTCCGGCACAAAAGGTACACTGGCTTGTGACCTCCTGTGGCTAGATTAAATACAACAGAGATACAAATTAAATATTAAATAAAGTAATTTTTCTAATACAGTTGGTTTATTTAACATGTATGCATTTATTTAACATATTTTGTTGTTTGATTAGCATTAATGAGACAAACTAATTATTTAATTAGACTGGTATTTAATTAGACTGCTGTCCCTTTAAGACCGAATGAATGTAATATACTGACATACTGTATATCCGGTTTTCACCCACCTGTTTATGTTCACTTAAGCTATAACTGTATTTACGTGAGATATTCCATATTATGGAGATATTATTTTGACAGCTGTGTGTGTATTTGACAATTCAGGCGCAAGGAGAACTGAGATCACGCGTGTGCATGGCCGAGAGAGCGCTTCTGTTGTCTGTCATTCAGCGTGATTCCTCCTATCTATCCCACCTTCACTTACTGCAAGTTAATCGATAACGAATTGTGATTAGATGGTAGTTTTGTTCTATGACAAGCTTAGTTAGCTTTGATTAGGCTGTTCTCACGTGACAAAACACTTGCTCTGATCACCCAGTCGTAAAGAAATTTTGAAATACGGGACAAAACATAAACACAAGTCGGGACACTAAAAATAGAGCTGAAATACGTGACTGTCCCGGGAAAAACGGGACGTCTGGTCACCCCAAGTAGTAATGACTGCCTGTTTTTGCAAAAAGAGTTTCATAGCCAGTAAAAAAAAAATTTAGCCAGTAAATTTTTTCACGTCACCGGCCATTGGCAGGTGTGGCAAAAAGTTAGTTTTAGGGAGCTTCAGGACTTTCCAGTCCTGTTATCCATTATACTGTGCTTGTAGCGCATTCACACACAAATACGGTGGTGTGCACTGTAGCCTGTATCATATCATTAAAGCATGAATTAAACTACGGGCATGCGTGTCAGATTCACGTCACATTCAGCAGTGGCAGCTCTTAAAGTAATAGCAGCCAAATAACCTAATAACCCAGTTGTTGTGATATGTTAATCAAAGAACAAAAGAAGGATTCATCTATATTTTATTTATAATTTACTGTTTGATAACTTTATTAAATTTCTGTATATTTCCTACTTGCTGAAGGGCACAGGAAAATATAACATTTATTGTGATGGTTTATGTGAAGATTGTTTTAAAAGGTTCAACTGTAAAGTTACGAAGCTACGAGAATACTTTTTTGCACAAAGAAAACAAAAATAACGACTTTATTCCACATTTTCGTCTCTACTGCGTCACTTGTGGACGCACGTTCACGACAGTACCATGACCATGATTTTCTTTGCACAAAATAGTATTCTCGTAGCTTCGTAACTTTACAGTTGAACCACTGATGTCACACGGACTACTTTGTCGATCATCTTGGTACATCAAAAATATCTTAAATTGTGTTCCAAAGATGAACGAAGGTCTTACGGGTTT